GTCGGGCCACAATTATGACGTGATTTAAGCCCCCCAGCCCCGCGGCCGCCCGCGCCGACAGCATCGCGGCTCATATATCCTTATTACTGCAGAGCGGCGCGGTGCGGCGGCGGCGGGTCGCGGCCGCCCGGCGTGGCGGTGGCGGCTTCCACGCCCCAACCCCGCCCCGCCCCGCCACGGCACGCCAATGTCAGTCACGGCCAGGACGGGTCGGAGCCCCGCACACCTGAAGGCGTAATGCACCTTACGCACACCTCGGCGCCACGCGCGGCCAACCCCCCGCAGTGCCCACGGCGCGGGGCATGCGGTACGTATACGGTGGTGTGGCGTAGCGCATAGCTACTCGCTGTTCATCCCACTACTGGAAGGGCAGCAGCAGCAGCAGTTGCAGACTATTACACAACCACCGCAGCATCCGTTGCAGCTGAAGCGGCTGGTGGTAGCAGCAGCAGCAGTAGTGCAGGCAGCCGGAACAATCAGCTGACTGCGGAGGCTCCCGGAGAGGGAGGAGCGGGGACGGTCGGACGGACAGACGGACGGACGGTCGGACGCACGGGCAAAGGAGAGGGAGTGGAGAAGGGGGAGGGAGGGGGAGTGCGCTGCCGTATCAGCTGTTCCAGCGCAGCCAGCCGCACCGAGCCCAGAGTGCACAACTAAAGGGTGTCCACGACGAGCGTCCCATACAACGGCCGCACGGCCCGGATTGCCCGGCAACGGAACGGACCCAGGATCCGGTCCACTTCGACGCACACGCGCACGCCGCGGCTCGCCGCTGCAGCATAAAGAGCCCCCTGCACAGCCCGCGGGGCGCGGCAGGGCGTGGCGGGGGTGTGGCAGGGCGTGGCCGAAGGCTTAAGCTCGCCTAATTATGCGCAGGCAAGTGTAACGAAGTCGGCGAATGAGAGGGGGCTGGGGGGGGGCTCATGAGAATATGGAGATGGACGCGAGCGCCAAACGGTGCTCGCCGGGCTGGTGTGGGAGAGGAGGGGGAGTAGGGGGTCGTCGTGGAGGAGGTTTGCTCATCGCGGGCGCTCCCGTAGGATCAGCAGAGCTGCACACGGGGCCTGGGCCACGCCCGCACTCACTGACTCACTCGCTTGCTCAGCTGACCCGCGCGGGCGGGAGCGGGCGGGCGAAAGAGAGAGACAGAGAGGGCGCGGGTTGTAAGGTCCGCACGCAGTCCCCCGCGCCAGGCTCGCTCGCGAGCTCATTTCTCATCCGTACGCGTTCAGATGAGAAACACGGATAAGTTTTTCCGCGGCTTCCGGCTCCTTTCCTTTTAGCCGCGTGCGCCTCGTGCTCAATAAAAACCTCGGCGGAGGTGAATTATTAGCCGTTCACATCAGCCCTGCTCATTAGCGCCAAACCCGCCCCGCCCCGCGGCTAGCAGATCCCCGACGTCACGTGCATAGGTCTGCGGACGACGCACACGGACGTGGCCGAGTGGTCGTGGAGGTAAAGAGGGCGAAGACGTCGAGGAAGCGGAGGAGGAGGAGGTGGAGGATCACGGGCGACACCCGGGGAGCACGACGGCCCGTCACAATTACAGTTCGGCGCGCTACGCAGCTTCCAGCCGCAATTATCTTTAATAAAAGCCCCCCATTAATGTTTTCTCTCTCGCAAGGAGAGTGAAGAGAGACGGGGATAAGGGGAAATGGTCGAGGGGGTGAGGGGGGGCGTGTGGGAGGAGTAGAGACAGCAGGTCAGGACCCAGAAGAGCAAGGAGCGGGGAGGTTCATTGCCTTGAAAATGAAGTACGTAAGCATGTCGGCTGCGTGGCACGGCGGCGGCGGGCGTAGACCCCGCTCCCCAACACCGGGGACACATTTTGATACCAGGGCCAGATAGCCGCACTCATGACTGTTTGTCGTTGTTGCTGTTATTGTTGCTGTTGGTGCTGCAGCTGCCGCTGCTCGCTGAGATGGGCGCCCGACACGCCCCGACACGCCCATGGAGGCAGCCGTTTCTTTGCTACGTGACGTTTGTACCGATGCTCGTCCGGAAACTGCCTCGGTCGTTTGGGTGAAAAGTTGTTATAGGAGCCGGCGGAGAGCGCCGCCCAGCCGCCGCGCCCCCGGCTGGCCGTGGTGGTCGCCCGCCACTCCGCTCTCGCTCGAGTAAGTCGAGTCTTTTGAACATGCTCCCGATTCCCGCTCGGCTCGACTCGGTCGCCATTCCCAAAGAAAATCAAGGGAATGGAAAGGGGGCGAGGAGGACGGACATCGACGAACATTTGAGGTAAGAGAGCAAGCGGCCGCAGCAGCCCGGGGGCCGAAGTAAACTGCCCTCCACGGCCGAACGAATCGGGACCGAATCGATCGCGTCATCGAGAGGGCGCTGATGGCTTATGTTAGAGACCTCCGCGATCTGGGGGAAAATTTAGGAGGTCGCCGCGTATAGAATGTCGTGTCGTTTGCAATGTGTAGAAGATGACGCCGACATCAGAGAGACCAGACCGGCGAGCGGAATCCTTCGTCGTCGAGGCCAATGTACTCATTCGTGAGGTCGAAGTCGTGGTCCCCCCAGAGCAACAGGACGCCGTCGTCGCCAAGTGCTCGCCCGGCTGCACACGGCCGGCAGAGGCCCTTCACACTCACCACCTCCGCCGGCCAAGAGTCGAGCAGTTCGCACACGTCAATTTCTCATATATAAGACGGGACGACGGACATGAGAGGAGGAGGGGGAGCGGCAGCAGCGGGGCGGGGACGTCAAGTGGAAGAGAGTCGTCAATGGGGGAAGGCAAGGAGAAGTAATGAAAACGCTACGTTGCGTCGGTGCCTTCAGCTCGGGCCTTCGGCTTGGCTGCACCGCAGGTATCCGCCCCGCCACAAAAGCCAGGCGCGCCACGTCGCGCCACGCCCCTGGAGAAAAAATAAAATTCCTTTGGGGGCTTTCGACGAGCAGAGCGTCTTTCGTTGCAGGGGGCGGTTCGGTTCGGCTGGAAGCAGCAGCAGGAGCAGGAGCCCTGTCACGGCTATGCTCAGGGTGTTGAGGCGCGGGTGTTCCACAAAGGTAGCTTTTCTCGGACGCCGAGTTGTCCTGGCCGCTTTACATATGAGTGTGGAATTGAATGAAAAAGTGCTTCGAAAAACAAGTAAGAGTAAAGTGGGGCGTAACTGCACAGTAGTGACGACTTTTGTTTAATGGGCGCCAGGCGGATAATAAAAGAATGAAGTTAAATAATGATTGATGAAGAA